TCTTCACTTGTCTAACACCTAAATAGAGACCAATTTCCCTTGGAACTTACTCGCTAGTTGTAAGGCCGGTCGGAGACTGTGCTGCCAGATGCGCAGCACAGACCCCGGCCGGTGTAATCGTTCGCAACTTCACAATTCGCATTATTCACCATTTAACAATTGGAGTGAACTTTCCAATTGAAAACTGTGTGGCCTGATAAGTCCTTAAAATTCACAGCAAATTAAAAATAGTTAAGAAGATTAATTAAAATATAGGACAAAAAGAAAAAAATTATAATTAATTGAAGGTTTTAATAAAAGACTGTAAAGAACTACAGTAATAACAAAGGTAAGTCTACTGTATACAGTAATCAATTTCTCAATCGAATCTCAATAATTTATACTACTACATCAGTATATGATTAATATCTGTATAATAAAAATTAGTGATGTAACGAATATTCGGTTACTATTCGGCCGAATACCGAATACCTAAAAACAGGAGTAATAAATAACAAAAACATAGTAAATTAATCGTTTTGGTATTTAGATTTAATGTTATCGAGTTAGGGCTGTTTGTTTTTAATTTATAAATAGTATTTATAACTTGTAACATGCACAAAATAAAAATGAAAATAATATTAGTCACATGTATTCACAATTTATAATTACAAACATCAGCACACGTACACGTCTATCATTGGAGAATCCTCGCATATCTGAGGGTCTGATCCTGCCTATTCTTCTTTTTAAGCGCTCGTCTTTGCTCTTCCCTTTCTCTTTCCTCTATCGCTCTAATCCATGTATGCCTGTGCATACATCATAATACGCGCTCACGATACTTTCCATTCGTCCCTTTTCCGTCATAGAGTTCCCATTTTACAATTACGTGACTCAGCCTGGTGATAACGGAGAAAAGAGACAGATAGGACGTCGATATAAGTCACAGTTATGATTTCACAGATTCGAGACAGCTTGATAGCCCGAACGGCCCCAGGCTTTCGCCCGTGCACGCTAAGTGACTTTCATTACAAGCATTTAGCTTTCCGAAGTCTATGACAACAATTGTTTGGCATTGACGGCCGCGAATTTCGTGCCAATAAGCTGCCTCGACTTGTTCGATTATGTTATCAACTCAATTTCATATTTATTTTCACATTTTCACTTCGCGGTCCTTCTCTGTTCTTTTTCCGTTATTTACACGTGTAGGTCATTTCATTGTTATCCACATTTGATATCATCATTTCTCACATACTTCCATGACACTGTTGTCTGTCCGCTATAACAGCCAAGAATTAACGCGATTGGCGAAGCGTAGTGACAGCGGGCCAATAGAGAGCAGGATCCTTGCCATAATGCGGCTTGCGCGCCAATTTTCGTACATGCGTTAATCAAGCCGAATAGTTTGGCCGAATATTCGCTATTCGGCCACGCTCTTGGCCGAATATTCGGTATTCGGCCTGAGGCCGAATATACTATTCGTTACAACACTAATAAAAATGGATTGAAATGACTGTCTAAAAAGTTGATATCATCATCAGTATTTCAACGATGAAATCTTTTCGGAGACTTTAATATTTTTTTCCCAGTATTGTCCAAAGAAAATTAATTTATAGATGTACTGTACCGGTATGCAATACATGTTTTTTGCGTTAATTATTATTTTGAGAAACAACGCGTGTTTTACGTTTTTCGTTTACAGAAACACAGCGTTATTAGCAGAATTTTTAACAAGTGTAAGCTATGCCCTCTCACGCACAAAGATCATTATTGGCTCTGCTATGCATTTATTTGATAAATATCTGAAGCGAAAGCTATGAAATTATAGTTATCAGATATAATATATATTCATCTTTTTCAAATTACAACAAAGATCAAAGAAAATTTCATGTACGACTAGAATTTCTCCAACGCTATCTGTACTTAGGTTTTAAATTAATATAGTATTAAAATGTTATTTAAAATACATATTCAATATTCAAAATTTTTATAATCATAATTATTTCATATCTTAAAATTTTAAAAATAAGACTGGATAAAAGTTTTTACGCTAAATAAATATAATTTTTACGCTTTTGCACAATAAACTTTATGTATTTCCTTCCGAGAAATGTAATATATTTATCAAATCTAGTATTAATGTTTCAAATGTTAAACGTCCGAACGGCCGAGGCGGTCAAGGCGTCAGACTACTACTATGGGGGATCCGAGATCGAATCTGGATGAGCAACCCCAGGGATTTTCGGGCATTGTCCCTTACTATCCGGCCGCCTCAATTGTGGGTCTGATCGAACTCGCGATGGATATGATTTAAAAAGTCCACAAAGAAAAATGAAAAACTAAATAAATATGAAATATTTCGTATAGCTTTTCTCTTCTGTTCTCTAAAACCAATTCTAATAAGTTTAAGAATTCTTTCCATAATCATTTTTATAAAAATAGTTTCGAAAAGCATTTCTTAGTTCTTTTCTATTAAACAAAATCACAAATAAAACTTGATTTTATCTCTCAATAATTCAAGAAATCAATATTTCTGTCTTAACTATATTGTATCAAATATATAATAGTGTAATAAACGTTTTTCAAAGTGTAGGGAGCGATATCGAAGGAGATTCTTTAAAAAGAAGTACGAGTCAATGATGAAAATTAGTGAACATATTCCAATTTTTTTTATTTATCTATGATGAAAATGTTGCTATCATTTGTAATATCGTAATGACGGTGAAGCGTGTTCTTCGTTTATAGTTCTGATAAAGACTAAGCGTATTAAATAGTAGTATCATTAATAATGCCATATTTTGAAAAAATTAAAAAACCAATAACGATAATCATTCGGATCATCATCATTACTATATATTCTTATGCTCATTTGTATAAGCGTTACAACCGAGTAAAACACATACTATACCAAGCATTAATTTATATTCTTTTACATAAAAGGTGCCATTCTTTCTTAAGTTGTCCCCGAGGAAAGAAGAGTTGAGTCCTTCTTAAGAACAAAAAAAAATCTCCGACAAGCACTGACGTACTGATTCATAAATAAGAAACTTTTAAGAATAAAGAAAACTATTCACATATTTTATCTTACTACATTACTACAACCGCGTAGTTGCAGTAGACCAATCTATTGCTTATTCAAAATATATTGTGATAAATTAAAACGATATTGCAATACATTTTTTTAATTCGTTATAATATTAAAAACTAATTCGTCTATTATAAAATATTTAATAAATACAAGAGCAGAAAGTCGTTAGTCAGAGATTCATCGCATTCGTAAATTCAAGACAAATGCAATTTTGTCTTATTTTGTAAAATGAAATATCAATATGCTAGAACGACGAGGGAGAGCATTTAAACGTTCTTTTAAAATGGAAACAATTATGCAATTTCCCCTAATGAGAAAAAACTAGAAAGGATGTTACCGAAAATCCATTTACACATTGTTTCTGCTTAACAGATTTCACACAACAAATTATTATATAGTATAAATATGGTACATTTGAATTTGGAATCTACTTTTTTTTAAAGTTAAAAGTTGTTTCATTCAAAAATTTAATGTTTTGCGATATAGCATTCTGATTTTCAATTAAAATACGAAAACATGATAGATAAATAACCCGAAAATTAAATTATAAAACGATTTAAATGAGGAACGATTCACAAAATTCCAAATATAACATACATTTAATGAAAAGAATATGGAGTATAAACGATGTAAAAATACGTACTGTACAAAATACTAAATTTCGTGAACTGCTAAGTTTAATATCAGAAATGGTTATTTACTTTAAAAAATTTTCTTAAAATGCAAATTAAATAGTTTAAAGTTTAATAATAAATGTTACAAACTCGATAATAATTAATAACAGAATTTAATTTTCGGAGAATTTCTGAATTGTTTTACTGAAATTTAATTTGTTTTAATGATTCTTATATATATTTAAATGATATAAAAATTGTACAGCCATTTTTGTATGATACGTATGTGAGAAAGCTAACATGTAGATGAACTCTAATGTATGTACTGTATTGTACTGTACAGTACATACATAAGTCTTTCCTTCGTTAAAATAATAATTGTAATCAATCTTAGTTACAGGATATAAAATAATTTTGCTTTCCCTGTGCTTAAATGTAGCTTTAGATATGAAGACAAGAAAGAAAAATCTATGCACGTATGATGTATTTTTGCTTAGAATACCTTAGAATTTTGGAGAAATATCAATGAATGATGAAGATATTTACTGTAATGTCTCTTATATGATGAAAGTATTGCTGAAGATTCTCAAAATTTAATATTTTTTCTTCTTCGGATTGCTTTTTAACGATCGTCTCAAGACGATGTTTTATTGAATGTTTATTTTTATTTTATATATTTAAGCAATTAAATTGGATATATCTGTTTTAATTGATTTTCTTTAATAAGCTTCTACTAATGTTTAATCAACAGAATATACGACTATGAACTTACTATGATAAATGTTCACCTTACCACTTATTTAATGTTATAGAGATTATTATCTACAACTAAACATCACTTTTTACATACAGTACTGATAACTGAAAACAAAATTTCATGAATGAAACAGGTACTTGTTAAATAAATGAACATATTGTAAGCATCACGAAATCTTTGATACAAATAAATTACATAAAATATTTAGATATAAAATTGATATTATTGCGATAATTTTTTAAATTCTTTGTTGCATAATTATTATTTCTATAACAATCTGTAGACGTGTATGTGTTACTTAAGAAATGAATCATTAATGCAACGTTTTTAATTCGGAGACCACCCTTTAACGCAAAAACTATAAAATTTAGCAATTCATCGCGGTCAGAATTTTGTTTTAGTGATTTAAATAACTTCATTAAATAAAAATTCCAGAGGATAATTCGAGGTCTAATTGCTACTTTTTCATCATTTTTTGCTAAAGAGGTCTCTAAACTTAAAAAAGTTAAAGTTATTAACTGCTACAATTTTGTTTTGAGGAAAAAAAGAAAAGCAAACTTACGTTTCACTATGAGACTTTTAAACAAGGAACAGACGAGTCTCTCTCTAAATTTAACTAAATTAATCTGGTTTCTCAACAAACAATTACTCGATTTATTTTTCAGTTCAATCTTTAAACCGTTATTTCCTATTTTAAAAAGTTAGAACGTAAATACTTTTGGTCCGAATGATAATATCTCAATTTGTTTACCTTTAACATCCAAGATTAATTGGAAATCTTCGTCAAGCATCCTTTGAAAAATGTCACAACAAGAATTGTTGCATTTCTCCACGTTAAAACACGACAAATGAGGTTTAGCTATAAAATAAATTGCTCGTAAATAATACAAATAAAAAAGAAAACAACATTTTATCACACTTACTATCATGAGCATTTACTGTTTTTAAAAACACCAGCAACATAAAAAATGAAATTGCAAACATCGCGAATATTTGGTCACTTGTAATAAATAAAAATCTAAGAATCAACCTAGTTCTTCCTTTAAATATCCGGTTACTCATACCAGGAAGTGACGAAACTTAGCGTAATTAAATTTAAAAAATAAAAATTTTAATTAAATCCTTTAAAAATAATTCATCTAGATAAAAATAAATTCTACTTTCAACCGATCATTGATAATTCAACCTTGTAAATTCGTAAAGCAGGTGTATCTTTTCGGAGATTGTTTCATTCCATTTAACTGCACCTGCGAATATCTCAGAACAATGAAAGGCAGCAGCTGCTAAAAAGGCTTTATTATTGATATTGTTTTTTTATACAAAATGGTACAATTATTTAAATTTATAATACTGATGCATTATTATGGTAAGAGAACGACAGAAAAATGAACAAAGCAAACAGAAAACTGTCACAATTCACTAACAGATAAACAGATATAAACGACACTTTCACACACAGAAGTCTGTACATCTGACTAGAAATGGAATGACTGGCTGAGAATTTTTTTTTCTTTCTTTCTTCCGTTTTCCACTCTTATGCTAGGATTGTCTAACTCGTTTTTTTTACATCCCAAAAGGTGTCAATAAAAGCATTTAATTAGACTATCCTGGGACGGACGATTTTATGTATCCATCGGAAAAATATGAGATAAGAAAATGGACTTTTTGGATATGTCCTTCGACTAATCTCTTAGAGAGAAAGTCTCGATGAATAAATATAAGACGGAACAGATGGATTCGAAGCTTACACCTCTCACATGGTCTTTTCTAATGGCTGCAAATATATATTTTCTATGACATGGCTAGATTAGAAAACACGTTACAAAATAGACTAAAATGTCACACGTACAGTTTCCAGACAGAAATGGGTTGCCTATATACTCCCGGTGCACCCTGCTCCCTTCCTCCGAATACATATAAGCAAAGTTGCCAGTGACGTTGTTGAATTCTTGGTTTCGAAGGACTCAGGTGCCATCTGCGTCCGGGTGACACCGATGCCATCTGATGTTCGAGACGGAGGCTAGAGGAAGTGGGAGTGGGCGTAATTGGATGGTTACGAATCTGATGCTTCCTCTGCGAACTGCGATCCCACGATCGAGCTCTCGGTGGTTCAGAAGAATTATTGAATGTCTTCAGCTCTACTGGCAAACCGTCCCTATGACCGCGCGTGGAAGGCCTGCGACTTGTAATGTTTAAACATCCCGCAAATTCACGGTGACAATCGCCGCTTTCATCGTCTGTGAAGCTGTGATAGCCAGAACTGTGGGATACGGAATGAGACAATCCACAGCTTTCGACGCTCGGAGTCACCAGATCCGAGAGAGTGTAAGAAGATGGATGTTGGCGAGGCTTTTCGGTCTCCATGGGATAAGTGGTGTCCAAATCTACCAGCACTGCGTCCATCGATTTTGGAGTGGTGACTGGGACGGGTACTGCTTCGTCTCCCCCCTCGCTGGTCTCTTCCTCGACATCTTTGACCGTAGTCAATGGTCCGTCATATGCGAGGCGTCCTCCTCGGCTTCCTGCAGACTGTGGCACCATTCTGTGACACACATCGCAATGAGTGTGGCCCATCATCCGCAAAGAGTTGCTACTACCGTGGTAACAACAACACCAGTCACCGTTTGATGATTTTTCCTTTTGAGATTCTGAAGTTCTAATGGAACCGGTAGGGGTGGTAGGATGGAAGGAACGAGGATGATTAGTGCCGGGAGATGGTAAACGTTCGAGTTTAGGCCGCGTATGTTGGGGAGTAGACGTTTCGCTATCGGATTCTAAAACGGCATCGGAACTGTGCGACTTCTGAATAGTGCGATGTTGCTGGTGCGGTGTCTCCTCTACGAGGCGTTCCAACTCATCCGCATGACCTTCTACGGGGGGGTTATGGAGGATGCTGTAGCTACCGCTGGAGATACTGCGCACCAGCCTGCTGCTGGTGATCTTCTCCCGGAGGGATTTACTGTAAAAGAAATTATTTTAAATATCGTAACGGCTGAATTTCTAAGTATTTTAAAGTGCTCACCTAATGTTAACTTGGGCTGAGTTGTGATTATAAGCTGCTACGTACTCGGAATCTTCGTCTTCGTCGTCCGAACTGGTACTCTTGCTACAAAGACGAGAAACGGGATGCACGCGGAATTTGAAATATTTCCGTCCATTCTCAGCAGATTCGCTCTGTGTGAAACACATAGACGCCGATTTAGGCGGCGTATCTGAAGTTCCCACAGGGTGAGAATGCCGATGATGGGAATGGTTGGAACGAGTGGTATTAGATTGCTGGGGGCTGTTTTCCCAAGCAATGATCTTGTCGTCCCAAGTATGGAGAGTAGGTTCTATCACTGCCGCGTGCCGACATCTCGGATTTGGTATAACTCCTTCGGGCTGAAGGCGCTCCCATGTCTCGGTTGCTGAAATAAAAGTATGATATTACTATATGTAGACAATATTTGTATTAATACATAATTAGAAAGTGTTTGCTCACCAAAGTGGTACCTCCACAATTCATTTAACAGGACACCTGCTCTTTCTCCTCCAAAGATATACATGCATGACATTGCTTTTACAGCGGAATGACCGTGTAATTCTCCTGGGCCTTTCTGAGATCGAATACGACTCCATTGCTTCGATACTTAAAGAAACCCAAAAATTTTATCTGGGAAATAAACGTATAACTTTTGTTAAAAAGCACAATAAACCTACCAAAATCCCATTTCCAGAAATCGTTTCTTTCCTGTAGGTCGGTCATCCCACCATAAACCCACATGGCAGCATCGTGGACAACCGAAGAATGGTTATGCCTGGCAGGTGGCTGATCCACGTGACTGGGAAGCAATGTCAGATGCCAACGTTCCGTCACTAGAAAACAATTTGAAGCAGAAATGCCCATCGTTAGGGAGGAAAGTAACTTCGTTAAGCTTAACACACTCCTGGGAGTGGCTCGTAAAATGTCCCTTGGGCGTCTTTTAAGGAAATGCCTCTATTATTAAATGCAAGAGGGAATAAATTTAGTTTTCATATTGAGGGGTAACGATATTTCTCTGAACATCTATAAAAATTAAATTTCCTATTTGATTTAATATCGAAATAGATATGTTTCGGATTTAAATTGATAAATTCTTTGTTGCCGAAAAACTGAAATGCTTGTCGGCATTAACACAATCAATCATTTATTCACACGCTAACTTTCTGCATCGATTAAAGCGAAAGAAAGTGCGAGGAATGTAACTCTTCAATCGACTAAAGATACCGCTAAACTAATCGATACAGAGATTGCGCAGAGAATGCTGCATCTGTTTCAGCACGGGATGCGGCAGAGTCAATCCTCGTGAATGATGTTTCTTTTAAAGAAAATTTATTTGAAATTTATATTTTATTTCTGTTTTCAGTTTGTACTTTTATAGTTAACAACGTAAGAAATTCTGTAGCAAACTTTATTTGATTTGTCACCCATGGTAGATGAGCAAATAATGAGTCATCCAATCCCATTTCGGTTGTCACAATCCATTTTAAACTCTCACTCTGATGTTTGCCAGAATTAAATAAAGTAGAAAAAAAGAAGAGTCGTGCATAATGCCCATCATCTTATATTCGGCAAAGGCATTACGTGTCTATAAACAGCCATTTATATTCTCTAGACGGAAATGGGAACATTTACGAGCCAAGAATTATTCCAATAGACAATTATTTCTCATTCAGTTTCGTTATTTATATATTAAATAATTCTTAACAACCTTTCTACACGCAGAATTCCAAAATAAACAACGGCTATTAACGAAACTAGACTAAAATTACAATTAAAATTCGATAAATTATGATTTTCGTATATAAAACAAACCACAGATTTATGATATTTGTTCTGTATGGAAATTAAATTAGTTCCATACATTCAATTCTGAAACTAAACGAAATTATTTACCAAAATCAAACGACCACAATTCAGAAGAGGAACCTCTCAAATCTTGATAACCTCCATAAACGTGCATAGCTCCATTATAAACTACAGAAGTATGCCCTCTTCTGCCAGATGGTTGTTGCCCACTTAATCCTCTAATATGGTGTTTTCTCCATGTTCCAACACCTAAAAATACGGCCTTAGTAGTTATCTTCAAGGAAAAAAAAATAATGATAAGATTAATTACGAGAGATTTACCAGTATCTAAAATCCACAAAGGTGTCTCGCCTGTAGATGCAAAGCCAATTTCGCCTCCGAAAACATAAAGGAAGTGCTGAAAAAAGCTAAATGTTTAATAATTTGCAACTCTTTCAACTCTCATCTTTATACATACCCTCCATCCCACCATGGTGTGTTCCTGCAGACAAGGCGGTCTGTTTCCACGGCAACGCAATTCTTCCCATAAACTCTGCACTGTAGGAGAATTTTTATTATTGTATTATTTATAAATTTAAAATATATCAAAGAATAAAATCCAGATTTACCAGGATCGAATCTCCAAAAATCCTTCAATGGTAAATTGGCACTTCTACCTCCTAGAAGATAAATCATTCCAGTCTGTGTGCTACACATGGCGTGTTTGCTCCTGGAACTCGGCGCCCCTTGGTTATTAACACTGCCAGTTTGCACAATAGACCACATTCCGCCTAAAAAAGTAAAGAATGATAATACAACAATCATTGGCATCATAAACAAATCTAACCTACCGCTTCACGCAGCTCGAAACAAATCGATGACTATCTACGAAATCCCCCGTTTTCGCTTTTAAAATTGCAATTAATTTAAATTTTGTTAGCGAAGTTATTCCACTTTGACCACCTGCCAAGTAATTGTTAATCTCCTTCATAACCTGCTCACCTATAGTGAATTTATCAGCATCAATCGAGTGAGAAATTAAAAAGTAATTTTTTACTTTTTATTTAAAACTTGTTTATGAATGAAATTTTTATTTTCCGCTTGGTTTCAGACAATAATACACGATGAATATTATATACATAGTTCGTTGGTTGCCAGGCAACGGTTCAAACGCGCTCGTCGATCCTATATGGATGTAACGACACTCCAGCTTACTCCTTTAGTGTACAGATGTGCCATTATTCCAGCATGACTCATGCGCTTAAAGTAGACATTTCAAACTTTCGAGTTTATTAATTTTAAAAAAATGTTCAAATGTAAACGTTCGTTAAATTATCTACCAGAGCCACTGATTACTATTGGTACGTCATCTAATTTGCATATTTTTCAGATAAGGCTGGGGTGAAGTAATTAATCACATCGTGCAACATAATTTACAGAGTTTATAAAATTACACAAGCGGATAAATTTTCTGGTTAGTTTTCGACGGACGACAGGAAAGGACATTGACCTCGTCACGTGAATCATTGATCGTGACGTCACAGACGGAATTTTTTCATCTCCTCCTCTTCCTCCTACTCCAAATGAGGATGGCTAAACCCGGCGCGATCTTTTCTGCGAATTCTACAGTAGAAAGTCATTTTAAACTGCAGAGTGCGAGAGGGGAAGGGGGAGTGATAATGTATTGCCAGTATTCCAGCATCCTTTGAAGGGCATTATCGCGAACGGAATTCCGTCTAGGAAACAAGTGCTTATGATAGTAAACAAATTTTTGTATTCAAATGAGAAATGAGGAGGTTAAAAACAGATTGGATGAAATCTTAAACAACATTTAAATAAAGTGGATGCGGTTCGTGCAACATGCACTAACCTTCTGCTTATTTCACACGATCTCCGAGTGCAGCTGATCATCGATCTCGTTTTGAGTTCCTACAGAACACAAATTGGATGTTATTAGTACGAGCGGGGAACAGTCGATTGTAATGAATCTGCCAGCTCGTTAAATGAGGAGAAATTACTGTACAAGCGCCATATTGGATACTGAAAGTCTTCTCTCGGCTTTAGGTAAACGTTCGAAACGAACGTTTGAAGTTTCCATTACGGATTAATGATATAATTACCATAAAACAAAGAAAGATATGGATTAATTTTTTAATCAAGTTTCTTAGTTTATTAAGAAATATTTAAACAAGATAAGCTTAGTGAAAATTATAAAAATTTTATGTTTTCAGAACTAAACAGATAATATCCATATCAGATTAAGGTTATGGCTTTACAGAATTTAAATTATGAGAAAAGTAATAAACTTTAAGGTAGCTTAACAATTTAGTTATACTTAAATCTGGAAATTTCTGTCCAAAAAAAATTCGGTAATTCTCGAGAGGATAATGTAATTCGCCGCTTTGCTTATTTTTCCACGGACCAACGAACATTTTACACTCCCGTGATCTATCGGGCGTTCAAGAATGACTAATAATCATTCTAACTTGTGGGGAACTTTATACTCGAGGGACATTTCCTATCCTAAATTCTTTTATGTACATACACTTATGTTTCGACTCACTGATATCTGTACATCAGCTTACCCGAACTTATAATGTAAAAAGACATCCATTAAGGTATAAATATTTTACAAAACGAATTATTGTTTTCTTCCGTATACAATGAGGGGCAAGGACGTTTTATTAAATTGGCTACAAGCCAGACAGTCTGGAAGTTGCATGTAAAACCGTTACTGCACCATATTCCTACAACTACCTACCAAAGTACCTTATGGATGAACTGATCAACTTATGTAAACAGATTTCCTTTTTCTTAAATGCAAAATTTAATTTTAAATATATATAAAATATATTCTTTCTTTTTTAAAGTGTTCCTTGATTAAATTAAAAGGAAATGAAGTAAGAATGATTAAAAATTTAATTAAGAATAGGAAATTCCTGGTTTGTCATTCATTTTTTCAAGGATTTAAGATTAATTTTCACTTTTATGCAGAAAAAAACTTAAATAAAATTGATTGATTGAATACAAATTTAAATCTATTAATTTTTTTTTATTATTTAGATTACTTCACTGTGAAATTCAAATCCTTGTTTTCATCCTTATTCCATTTCAAATTCTTGTTTCAACTCTTTAAGTTAAACATTTTAAGTTTGAAAAGAGTACGGTTATAAAGAATAATTATAATTAAGATATAAATTTTATAATTNTCGATATAAGTCACAGTTATGATTTCACAGATTCGAGACAGCTTGATAGCCCGAACAACCCCAGGCTTTCGCCCGTGCACGCTAAGTGACTTTCATTACAAGCATTTAACTTTCCGAAGTCTATGACAACAATTGTTTGGCATTGACGGCCGCGAATTTTGTGCCAATAATCTGCCTCGACTCGTTCGATTATGTTATCAACTCAATTTCATATTTATTTTCACATTTTCACTTCGCGGTCCTTCTCTGTTCTTTTTCCGTTATTTACACGTGTAGGTCATTTCATTGTTATCCACATTTGATATCATCATTTCTCACATACTTCCATGACACTGTTGTCTGTCCGCTATAACAGCCAAGAATTAACGCGATTGGCGAAGCGTAGTGACAGCGGGCCAATAGAGAGCAGGATCCTTGCCATAATGCGGCTTGCGCGCCAATTTTCGTACATGCGTTAATCAAGCCGAATAGTTTGGCCGAATATTCGCTATTCGGCCACGCTCTTGGCCGAATATTCGGTATTCGGCCTGAGGCCGAATATACTATTCGTTACAACACTAATAAAAATGGATTGAAATGACTGTCTAAAAAGTTGATATCATCATCAGTATTTCAACGATGAAATCTTTTCGGAGACTTTAATATTTTTTTCCCAGTATTGTCCAAAGAAAATTAATTTATAGATGTACTGTACCGGTATGCAATACATGTTTTTTGCGTTAATTATTATTTTGAGAAACAACGCGTGTTTTACGTTTTTCGTTTACAGAAACACAGCGTTATTAGCAGAATTTTTAACAAGTGTAAGCTATGCCCTCTCACGCACAAAGATCATTATTGGCTCTGCTATGCATTTATTTGATAAATATCTGAAGCGAAAGCTATGAAATTATAGTTATCAGATATAATATATATTCATCTTTTTCAAATTACAACAAAGATCAAAGAAAATTTCATGTACGACTAGAATTTCTCCAACGCTATCTGTACTTAGGTTTTAAATTAATATAGTATTAAAATGTTATTTAAAATACATATTCAATATTCAAAATTTTTATAATCATAATTATTTCATATCTTAAAATTTTAAAAATAAGACTGGATAAAAGTTTTTACGCTAAATAAATATAATTTTTACGCTTTTGCACAATAAACTTTATGTATTTCCTTCCGAGAAATGTAATATATTTATCAAATCTAGTATTAATGTTTCAAATGTTAAACGTCCGAACGGCCGAGGCGGTCAAGGCGTCAGACTACTACTATGGGGGATCCGAGATCGAATCTGGATGAGCAACCCCAGGGATTTTCGGGCATTGTCCCTTACTATCCGGCCGCCTCAATTGTGGGTCTGATCGAACTCGCGATGGATATGATTTAAAAAGTCCACAAAGAAAAATGAAAAACTAAATAAATATGAAATATTTCGTATAGCTTTTCTCTTCTGTTCTCTAAAACCAATTCTAATAAGTTTAAGAATTCTTTCCATAATCATTTTTATAAAAATAGTTTCGAAAAGCATTTCTTAGTTCTTTTCTATTAAACAAAATCACAAATAAAACTTGATTTTATCTCTCAATAATTCAAGAAATCAATATTTCTGTCTTAACTATATTGTATCAAATATATAATAGTGTAATAAACGTTTTTCAAAGTGTAGGGAGCGATATCGAAGGAGATTCTTTAAAAAGAAGTACGAGTCAATGATGAAAATTAGTGAACATATTCCAATTTTTTTTATTTATCTATGATGAAAATGTTGCTATCATTTGTAATATCGTAATGACGGTGAAGCGTGTTCTTCGTTTATAGTTCTGATAAAGACTAAGCGTATTAAATAGTAGTATCATTAATAATGCCATATTTTGAAAAAATTAAAAAACCAATAACGATAATCATTCGGATCATCATCATTACTATATATTCTTATGCTCATTTGTATAAGCGTTACAACCGAGTAAAACACATACTATACCAAGCATTAATTTATATTCTTTTACATAAAAGGTGCCATTCTTTCTTAAGTTGTCCCCGAGGAAAGAAGAGTTGAGTCCTTCTTAAGAACAAAAAAAAATCTCCGACAAGCACTGACGTACTGATTCATAAATAAGAAACTTTTAAGAATAAAGAAAACTATTCCCATATTTTATCTTACTACATTACTACAACCACGTAGTTGCAGTAGACCAATCTATTGCTTATTCAAAATATATTGTGATAAATTAAAACGATATTGCAATACATTTTTTTATTTGTTTTTATTTTTAAAAACTAATTCGTCTATTATAAAATATTTAATAAATACAAGAGCAGAAAGTCGTTAGCCAGAGATTCATCGCATTCGTAAATTCAAGACAAATGCAATTTTGTCTTATTTTGTAAAATGAAATATCAATATGCTAGAACGACGAGGGAGAGCATTTAAACGTTCTTTTAAAATGGAAACAATTATGCAATTTCCCCTAATGAGAAAAAACTAGAAAGGATGTTACCGAAAATCCATTTACACATTGTTTCTGCTTAACAGATTTCACACAACAAATTATTATATAGTATAAATATGGTACATTTGAATTTGGAATCTACTTTTTTTTAAAGTTAAAAGTTGTTTCATTCAAAAATTTAATGTTTTGCGATATAGCATTCTGATTTTCAATTAAAATACGAAAACATGATAGATAAATAACCCGAAAATTAAATTATAAAACGATTTAAATGAGGAACGATTCACAAAATTCCAAATATAACATACATTTAATGAAAAGAATATGGAGTATAAACGATGTAAAAATACGTACTGTACAAAATACTAAATTTCGTGAACTGCTAAGTTTAATATCAGAAATGGTTATTTACTTTAAAAAATTTTCTTAAAATGCAAATTAAATAGTTTAAAGTTTAATAATAAATGTTACAAACTCGATAATAATTAATAACAGAATTTAATTTTCGGAGAATTTCTGAATTGTTTTACTGAAATTTAATTTGTTTTAATGATTCTTATATATATTTAAATGATATAAAAATTGTACAGCCATTTTTGTATGATACGTATGTGAGAAAGCTAACATGTAGATGAACTCTAATGTATGTACTGTATTGTACTGTACAGTACATACATAAGTCTTTCCTTCGTTAAAATAATAATTGTAATCAATCTTAGTTACAGGATATAAAATAATTTTGCTTTCCCTGTGCTTAAATGTAGCTTTAGATATGAAGACAAGAAAGAAAAATCTATGCACGTATGATGTATTTTTGCTTAGAATACCTTAGAATTTTGGAGAAATATCAATGAATGATGAAGATATTTACTGTAATGTCTCTTATATGATGAAAGTATTGCTGAAGATTCTCAAAATTTAATATTTTTTCTTCTTCGGATTGCTTTTTAACGATCGTCTCAAGACGATGTTTTATTGAATGTTTATTTTTATTTTATATATTTAAGCAATTAAATTGGATATATCTGTTTTAATTGATTTTCTTTAATAAGCTTCTACTAATGTTTAATCAACAGAATATACGACTATGAACTTACTATGATAAATGTTCACCTTACCACTTATTTAATGTTATAGAGATTATTATCTACAACTAAACATCACTTTTTACATACAGTACTTATAACTGAAAACAAAATTTCATGAATGAAACAGGTACTTGTTAAATAAATGAACATATTGTAAGCATCACGAAATCTTTGATACAAATAAATTACATAAAATATTTAGATATAAAATTGATATTATTGCGATAATTTTTTAAATTCTTTGTTGCATAATTATTATTTCTATAACAATCTGTAGACGTGTATGTGTTACTTAAGAAATGAATCATTAATGCAACGTTTTTAATTCGGAGACCACCCTTTAACGCAAAAACTATAAAATTTAGCAATTCATCGCGGTCAGAATTTTGTTTTAGTGATTTAAATAACTTCATTAAATAAAAATTCCAGAGG